GGTCATCAGTGCTCCCAACTTATTCTCCTCTTTGGCAGGGCCTTGGTTCCTACTCTTTCCTCACATTCTCCCAGGCAGTACCCCACCCTGCCTTAACTCCCCAAGTAGCCATACCAAGCCAGGATTCACCCTTCTCCCCACCCTCAACCCCTGCAGGCTTCACCCTGACCTCCTTTCTTCCTAGCTTCCATTAGTGAGCATCCAGGTAGTCACTAAGGTTGAGCCACTGTTTGAGTTGCAAATGGCAAAACCCACCTCAAACCAGCTAAAGCTGGACAGGAGATATACTATCTCACATGCCTGAACATACAGGGGTGAGGGAGCTTCAAATGATAATGGATCCAGGGATGCAGTGTCCCCAGGATCCAAGCACACTGGCTTCCTCTCTCTAAACTGTATTTGCCTCATGCTCCAGAAGGGCTTTCCCCCGTGGGAGCTCCAGGCTCATTTTTCCAAGCAGTGACCATAGTCTTCTTTCCCAGTACATAGCACCGGGAACACAGATTAGTTCCACTTGGGTTGAACCACCCTTGGGGACACGTGTCTGGCACCCTAGCACCCAAGTCCTCTTGAAGATTCTGTAACCTGAGTGCTCAGCCCCCATGTGTCGTGTGCATACCTGAGAGCAAGTGTGCCTGTATCTCAGCCACAGGGAGGAGGACCAGGATCACTCTTTGTGCCTCTCCATCCCCCTTAAAGCACACCACAAGCCCTTAACAGAGTTGTGCAGGTCCTGGGGGCTGGTTTCTGCTCCGTTCTTTCACCCAAAGGTTGGTCACTGAAAGCAGTATTCGGACTTAGGCAGCCTGTGTTCAGAACTCAGAATGAGAGCTGTCAAAAGGCTGCAGCAACCCAGGTCCCCACTCTACCAACTGCCCCCTGCCCCTCCTCAGGGTGGGAGTTCACCCCTTCCTCTGCAGCTGCTCCTGGTCTCTGCACATACCCATCCACCTCAACCCCTTGCATTAGGTCAAGCAGAGTCTCCTCCCTGTGGCCTAGTATTCATTGGGCTGACCTGGTGTTCTAAAAGTTAAACATCCTCCTACCCAACCTCACAGGATCTGGTTTTGGTCCTCTGTGTGCCTGGCCACTATACTGCTGATGAGTTTTTCTCCTGGGAGCTCCAGGACCAGATGCTGGAGGGGGAAACCAGCCTCAGCTTAACATCATTCTCTCTTCCCTCCCCAACAAGGCCAATGCCACAGGGGGTGGTGGTCATGTGCAGATGGTGCAGAGGGCCATGGAAGACCTGACCTATGCCTCCCTGTGCTTCCCTGAGGCCATCAAGGCCCGGGGCATGGAGAGCACCGAGAACATTCCCTACTACTTCTATCGGGATGATGGGCTCCTGGTGTGGGAGGCCATCAAGACGTGAGTACAGGCTGGGTATGGGACCTACTCTGTGTGGCCAGAGTGGGGGGCTTCGAGGAGGAACAAACACGAGCATTGATGAACCTAGCTAGGAGTCTCCACGACTGACTCAGTGAGCCAGATGCTTGGCTTTGTTGTCAGGGCACTAGAGGAGGAAGGGGGGTGTGTGAGGATAGGGTGACCTTAATGACCTGGACATTAAGAATAAGTGACTGATGGGGGCCCTGCCTGGGGGCACAGCTCTGCAGATCCTGGCTGTATCGCCCACTGCTTGTTGGGCCCTTTCTCCTGAGCTAGGTTTGTAGCTGATGTGGTTGGCGTCTACTATGAGAGTGACCAGGTGGTGGTGGAGGACCAGGAGTTGCAGGACTTCGTGAAGGATGTTTATGTGTATGGCATGCGGGGCAAGAAGGCTTCAGGTAGGGACCATTCCCAGTTCTCCAGTCCTCTCTGCTGCCCTTCTCTGCACCTCTGAACTTCCTTGGGCAACATGGGCTTATCATAGTCACCTTAGCACCTGGTGCTGGGGCTAGAGTCCCCAAGGGACCCCTGGCCACCAGTATGCCTCCCTGGGGACACTTCAGGGCTTCCTGTGACCCTGATAGCCTGGGTCAGAAATACCAGGAGACTAAGCCAAGCTGCTGATCCCTCCCCGTGTGTCTGTATTGCCCATGCCCATCCCTCCAGCACTGGTGTAGGGGACCCCAGGGAAGGATGTGGGTGGGAGAGGCACTCTGCTGGTCAGCTATCCCTCCTGGAAGGTGGGGCCTTAGCCAGCTCCTGACTCTGCCTTAGGCTTCCCCAAGTCCATCAAGACCAGGGAGAAGCTATCTGAGTACCTCACCGTGGTGATCTTCACAGCTTCAGCCCAGCATGCAGCAGTGAACTTTGGCCAGGTGGGCAAGGGCAGGGCAGCCCTCTGGGTGGGAAACTACCAAGATCACCCTGACCATGACTACTACTGACCCACAGGGTGAGACAGCCCTCTTCTTACTTTTCCAGCCAGCCAGCTAGGTAGAGGAAGCCAGGTGGAAATCAGGCAGTCTCAGGGCCCAGATCAGGTGTTCCCACTGACAATTCTGCCAACTTAGTGGAGGACCCTGGCTGGTGACAGTGAGGGGCTTGGTGGATGGGGAGTGCACAAGTGGGAGGCAGGAAACACAGGCAGGCAGTGTCTGGATTGCGTGTCTGTGGCTCTCCCTGCAGTACGACTGGTGTTCCTGGATTCCAAATGCCCCCCCAACCATGCGGGCCCCACCACCCACAGCAAAGGGTGTAGCCACCATCGAACAGATCGTGGACACACTGCCAGACCGAGGCCGCTCCTGCTGGCATCTGGGTGCAGTGTGGGCATTGAGCCAGTTCCAGGAGAATGAGGTGAGGCCATTCTGCCTCTTCTGGCAGGCAGGTTGCCCAGGTTTAACCCACTTCTCAACTTCAGGGTTTTGTGACTCAGGACTCAGGTAGATACCTACCCTCCAAGCATCCTGAGTTCTGAGGCTGAAGTAGCCACAAGGTCCTCAGGCCTGAAGCTTGAGAGCGTTCAAGGTGGCTGGGGCAAGAGAGCAAAGGGGCCGCTGCTCCACTGATGACACTCCCCACAAAGGCGCCCCCACCACGCCCAGCTGTTGATGAGGCTCTCTTCTGTAGGTTTCTCTTTGGCACCCCAGAGGTGACAACTAAGAGTTTCCTAGATATCCTTCCAGACATTTCCATATACCTTGTATAGGCTAATCCCAAAGATGGGTGTCTCAGTAGATACAATGTGATAACATTAGTTCAGTGCTGCACACAATGATCATACCAGGCCCAGACTCATGGGAATTTAAGTTACTTAGGGTACTTGCTAATGTGTTGGTCCCTCACTAATATCTTTGGATACTAGTGGGGATATTAGTTTCTTTGCCCACATGTTTAATAGGACCAGAGGATGCACTCCAAGTAGGGGAATTTCTAGGTCCAAGAATGCTGAGACTGAACTGCCCTCCACAACGTAAATCCCAAATACCATCAATAGCATACGATGCTTCTCCCACCCTTTCCAGCCCTGTATATGAAACTTCCCAACTTAAACAATCCAATAGTTTTTAAATATGTCTAGTTTTAATTTGCAAACATCTGTGTAAGTGTGCAAATGAGCACATTACCTCAAAGGGGTGAGAGAAGGCCAGTGCTGGCCCCTCTGCCCACTGCCTGGGGCCAACAACAGTCTCCATATTTACCTGCACCATTACATGTCCTTATAGCCATCCTGGAGCAGAAAAGTGCAGTTATTTCTCCCACTCATCTGCAGTCCCCCCATCTCCACTCTGGAGGCTTCCTCAGGGAAAGCCAGGTTGGAGATGGCATTTTCATTCTCGCAGCATTCTCAGCAGGCAGCAGAGGATGACTCCCCAGGGCTGATCTTTATGGGTAGGATAAGGTTTGTCAATTAACATTGCTGCATTGCAGAGTAACCTGTCTGTCTCGGTTCTCAGCTATTCCTGGGCATGTACCCAGAGGAGCATTTCATTGAAAAACCCGTAAAGGAGGCCATGGCCCAATTCCGCAAGAACCTTGACACCATCGTCAGTGTGATTGCTGAGCGTAACAAGAATAAGAAGCTGCCATATTACTACCTGTCTCCAGACCGGATTCCCAACAGTGTGGCCATATGAGTGGCTGCCTGAGCCAGTCTCACCCCCGGACGGCCACCTGTTGCAGCCTATTCAGGTGGGGAGGCTCACAGGGCAGGCCTTCTGGCCTTTCTCTCCTGGAATTCTGCTCTCAGGCCCTAGGCTGACTGGCTTCAAACCAAAGGCTGCCCTAGGATGGGCCAGCTATTATTAGCTATAATGCCCACATTATAGCTAAGCTTCAGTGTATCTTCCTTTTTTATTCTTCAGTTTTGAATGAACCCCATACTTGGATCCAAGTGTGGAAACACTGCCAGGTCCTCCTACAAAGAATAGGATGGTGCAGCTTCCTGCCCTTCACCTAGCTCAGTACTTCCACACCAGCAAATCAGGATAACTGATAGATGTTTCTTCTTGTTGGAGGCATAGGATGATTATTTTCTGTTTTATTTATGCTTAGTTTTAATTTCTTGTGTACAGTACATGCCCAAATAAACTCCTGTTGAGTGAATTAAGAATTAGTTGTCATAAAAATAAAGTTCATTTAAAACATTTCCTTCCACATGCTATATTCCAACCAACCCAAAACAGCTTACATACACACAGAAAAGCTGTAATCCATTGTGATTCCATCTACACAGAAGCCTCTCCACTATCCCCAGTCTGGATAGCTTCAAGAAGCTCAGCCAAACCCAAGCAGAATAAAGTAAACCCTTCTTCAAAGCCAAAGTCCTCAAAACCACAATTGAAGAGAAAATCTTGGAAGTGGTGACACATATAACATATAATGGAATGATTTTATTACAGATGTACTTTTCATTAGAAACTATAGGGGCCTAAAGACAATGGAACAATGTTTTTAAAGCTTTAAAGGAAAATAATCACCAACACAGGATTCTGTAACCAGCAAAAATATCCTTCAAATGTGAAAATCAAATAAAAGATTTTGAGGTAACCCTGGCTGGTGTAGCTCAGTGGATTGAGCACGGGCCTGCGAACCAGACAATCGTGGTTCGATTCCCAGTCAGGGCACATGCCTGGGTTGCAGGCTGGTTCTCTGCAGGCCAGTTCCCAGCAGGGGATGCACAAAAAGGCAACCATACATTGATGTTTCTCTCCCTCTCTCCTTCCCCCCTTCCCCTCTAAAGATAAATAAATAAAATCTTAAAAAAAAAAAGAGAGAGATTTTGAGGTAAATAAAACTAAGAGAATCTGTTGACACCAGAGCTACACTACAAGAATTGCTAAAGAAAATTCTTCAGGCTGAAGGGAAATGACACTACATGGAAACTCAGATCCTCAGGAAGGATGGGAGGGTATCAGCAATGGTAGAAATTTGCTAAACTAAGAAACTAATTTAATCAATTCTTCCCCCACTTAATTCCTTTAAAATATATATGACTATTTAAAGTAAATATTATAGCCTTCCACGTGGCATTTACAATACATGTAAAGATAGCATAAAAGAAAATGGGTATTAAATGGACATTTTCATTGACATGGTTTCTATAGCTTAGATCAGATGGCCCAATATTAATTCCAAGTAGTTTGTAAAATTTTAAGTAGATGTATTATAATCCCTAGGGCAACCACTAAAAATAACTAAAAACCAATAGATGGTATCCTAAAATATGTAAATAATTAAAATAAAAGCAGGAAAAGAGGAACAGAGATATAAAAAAAGGGGGACAAACAGAAATTAAATAATGAAATGGTAAACACAGAACCATCAAAAGTTAATGGACTAAAAACTCCTACAAAATGGCAGAGATTATTAGATCTAAAGAATCAATAGCCCACTGCAGTTATCAGTTTTGTCCACATTAACCTTGATTCCCATTAACAGGATGGCTCATGTTTAATTGAGCAGCCATTCCACTTCATTGAAAATGCCATTAGCAAGATCAGCTTCCCTTAGTCCAACTATGAGAACCTACTCCTCCTTTTTCCCTACTGAATGGATTATATTTGTGTCTTGACAATAAAGCTGGAAATATTTACAGATGCCCTGTATGAAGGAGACAGTCCCGTTTTTACTTAGTTCATCGAGTGCTTTCCAGTGTGGATACAAGATGGAACCTAAAAGGGGCCACCCAGGAGGTTCCCTGCCATCAGCAAGTGAAGGTTTATGTTTTTTCTCCACTCAAGTAATGGACTCCTCATCCAAACAAAGAGACTGTTGTCCAGGGCAGATGTACTACTGATCCCTGTATTTTCTATGTCACAAGTGGCATTGGAAATACTGAGGAAATATCACAAGTTTTAAAGCCCAGTTTAAAGGGCTCCTACTAAAGCACCCTGATGAAGCTCAACTATAGGTAATACCAGGTCTACAGTGATGCATCACCCATTTCTAGTTAAATCAGCTCCACATAATGTGACTCAAACTAATGATACTAGTGCCTTTGTCCAGAGTCTCTCCAGGACATAGATTTTCCCCACATCTTAAAATAAATTATCCTTATTTTTATCCAAAATAAGTAAACAAATAAAGTTAATAACCAGCAAGAGACACACTTTAAATACATAGCGAAGTCAGTAAGTTTGGCGAGCAATCTACAAACTTGGATTTTTAAAAACAGCATTTTAGCCCTGGCTGGTGTGGCTCAGTGGATTGAGTGCCGGCCTGTGAACCAAAGGGTCACTGGTTTGATTCCCAGTCAGGGCACATGCCTGGGTTGCTGGCCAAGTCAGGTCCCCAGTAGGGGGCGCATAAGAGACAACTACACAATGATGTTTCTCTCCCTTTTTCTCCCTTCCCCTCTGTCTAAAATAAATAAATAAATAATTTTTAAAAACAGCATTTTAAAAATGTGAAATACATTCTTAGCTCAAGGGCCTTACAAAATCTGGTTATGGGCTGGTTTGACCAGTGGGCTGTGGCTTGACAGCCCCCGATACAAAGAGACTGTAAGATTTGTGAATGGAAAATAAAGCACATGACAAGACACACATAAAAACGATCAACATTATTAGTCATTAGGGAACTACACAGTAAAACCACAGTGAAATACAACTACACATCTACAACACTAAGTGTTGGCAAGCACATGAATTAACCTTCACACATTGTTGGAGAGGATATAAAATGGTCCACTTGCTTTGGATAAAAGGTGCTTACTTTCTTGTTAAAACGAAACACACCCTTACCCTTTCTGAACCAGTATTCCATTCCTAAGTATTTCCTAAGAGAAAACATATGGTCACAAAAATATTCTTAGTAGTTCTACTCATAATAGCAAAAAACTGTAAACTGAAGTATCCAGTAATAAGAAAATGGATGAAGGGATTGGTATCTTCATACAATGCACTATTAATCAACAATAAAAAAGAACAAGGTAATTGATACAATAGCATGGATGAAACTCAAAAGCAATGTGCTGGCAGAAAGAACTCTTACATAAAAGTGTATATACTGCATAACTCCATTAAAACCAAGTTCTAGGATAAGCTGAAGTCAAGAAATCAGAACAGCGTTTGTTATGGGAGGTATGGGGACAGGGTGGACTGAAAGGGGCCATCAGAATTTTAAGGATTGAGACAATGTCCTGTATTTTCATAGAAGTTGAGTTACATAGGTGGTGTATACATTTGTCAAAACTCATCAAATGGTACACTGGAGATTTACGTATTTTACACTGTAAATTTTACCTAAGAACAAAAAGAACCATAAATAAATATTGAATTCTAGGTAACAATATGCACACTGAAGTGTACTTTACAGCAGCAATTTACTCTGGAGTGCATGAAAAAAATAAGCTGATGGATGAATACAGTGATGCACAGGTGGAGATATGTGGTAAAGTGTATATAAAAACATGTTAATTATAGAACCTACAATTATTTTAAAAATATTCATAAAAATGGAAAAATTCATGAATTGCACTTATTTGTCACGTACAGAAAAGCAGAGAGTTAATTTTCTTACATCATAAAAAGCACTCATGATTCAATGTAAAAATACAAAGAAAAATCCAAGAGGAAATGGTCAAGGCATATGGAAACTTGCAAAAGCAGAAATGGGCAGTATACAAAATATGCTCAATCTTATTTACCTGAGAAATGCAAAGTAAAATATCAACAAGAAGATGGGGAATGACATATACTTTAGTTAACAATTTAAAAAGTAACACATATTGCAATGTAAGGGAACAGGCTCATATTTTCAGTGGGAAGATAAGTGAATAATTCTAGAGATAATTTTGGCACCTTAAAATGTCTCTATTCCATTTTTCAACATCTAGGAATTTATCTTCAGAACTACCTCTCCATCCCAGACAGACACCCAGGTATACAAAGTTAAAGGTCAAAACTGTGAAGTTCTACCTTGTTTCTAATGTCAAAAACTAGTAAGCAACCTAAAATTTATATCAACAAGGATTTAGTTAACTAATTTAATTTAGTTAACTTAATTCTGTATAAGTTGAAAATAAGGTAGACACAAAACTATTAAATTGGTTGTTAGGTACAAAAAGCAACCTGCAAAGTGGTATGTTGTGTGGTCTCAATAAGCAACATGCATTTTATATAAAGTTCAGACTTATTAAAACCATGTGATGCCTCCCCACTGCCAGTGTCTCAGCACCCCCTGCTGGGCCCTCAGTATGTACCCCTGCCCTTCCAGCAGGGGCCTGGCATGCTGCCAATGACAGCCCTTCCCTGGGGAAAGGGCTGTGTTTGATTTTCTTCTTTGGTTTTCATCATGTTGATGTATGCCTTCCCTCTCCTCTTAATGTTTAACCAGACATTTCTTCTTTTCCAAAGAAAGGTCAGCCAGCTTGCCATCTGGTCCTCCTCCACCAGCCAGAACTTACCAAACAAGGGTGTATGAGTTCATCTCTGGTAGCCCACAGAAAGCCAAAGCCCAAGGCAACAGGTTTTCCCAGAGAAGAAGGGTTTATCAGTCAGGCAGCCAGACAAGGAGACCAGAGATGAAGCTCAAATCAATCTGCTCCATCCGAAGTTCGGGGATGAGTTTTCGGGGGGCAGGGGAACGCTGGTATATGAAAGCAACTTGGTCATTTATGGGAAGATATGCTAAGGGGGCTTCTGTAGCAGACCCTCCTGGACAATGGACACTTCTGAAAGTGTTGTACTGTTCAAGTTCCGGTCATGTCCTGGTCCTTTAGTTACATGGGAAGGGGCAAGAGTTTGGTTCCAGTGTTATCTTGAGGAGGGATGGCACATGCGTAGTGCTGTCTCTGTAAAATAACTCAACAATGTCATTAATTACCAATCCTCTACCAGTGTGCTGTTATCACTGACACCCCAGGCAGTAAGGAGAAGTGAGCAAGTTCTTGGGCAAAGCTGAGCAGGGCTCACAGCTTCTGAGCCCTCAGTACTCTCTTAGCCACCTGTGCATCCCAGCCTGCTGTACTTCCAGGCCTCCAGGAAGGAGCATTGAGCAGATCTTTAACAAGGGAAATGTGAAGACACACCAACACTGCTTTTAACTCTGAAATTCCCCTGAAGGGGCACAGGGGGATAGTCAGCCTGTTCCACAGAGGAGGACACTGCTGACAATAAAAATCCCGGGAAGGAAACCCGGGATTGGCAGCCCACCCTAGGGCAGCTAGGCCCCAGGCTAAGCTGTGCTCCTCCTGAATGCCTCTAGGTGATCCTGCACTAGAGTACCACACATTTCCAGCATTTTGAAAATTTACCTCAAGTTCTTGCCACCAACCCTCTGGTGCACAGAATTCTGACAAAACAGAAACTGGTCGGTCAGGTAACTGCTTATTCAACCCTGTATGGAGGTTCAAAACAAGCCACCCCTAGATGTGCCTCAGGGGTGTGCAGATTATTTTGAGCTAAAGGCAATTTTAGCTTCAGTCTCAATAAGTAGTTCTGCCTCTCCCTAGAAGAACTTGAATTATGGGCCCTGAATTAGAGAGAAGCTTTTTTACCTATCTATAGGGCAGGACAAACTTCTCTTTCTAAGCACCTTACCTCATCCCTAGCTCAGATTGTCTCACATACCTATGTTCCCTTTCTGTTTCTGAGCCTCTCCTGCATGTGGGGTCCCTGACTCCTGTATGTGGGGCTCCCATACATATGTATATTTTAAGTTGAGTTATTTTCTTTTGCAAATCTGCCTCATGTCTATTTGATTATTAGAGCAGCAAAAGGAACCTTGAGGGTAGAGGAAAGTTTGTTCCTCACAGCAGCACTGCCCACGGAACACCACATCCTCCCTTGCTTCCTCCATGTTAAATAGTGGGATGAGCCCAGAGACCCTAACACTGTCCCTTGGGCCTGTGCCTCTGCAGGGCTGTATCAAAGGGTGTGAGAGAACTGAAATTGTTTGCACTTCTTCCCAGATACCATTCGAGGATGGGGGTGGAGGGAGGAGAGCCTTGAGTCAGAGGAGCACTTGGTGATGCGGTGTAACTCAGAGCAATGCCTTCTCTGGGCTTTTTTCCTGGCCATACACAGGGTCAGACTAGAGGAGCTGTTCTCACTGTTGGGGAAATGTAAAGGGGAAGCAGGGACTACTTTGAAAATCCCTTTGAAAGCTATGGGCTTGTATCCTTGTCCCTTGTTCCCTGAGGAGCAGGACATGGGCACTCACACAGTCCTCAAGGAACTATACACCACCTGGATGAGGAAAGAGCCTCTCTTTCCTCAGGGTTCCCAGATAATTGAATTTTACAGACTAGAAAAGTTTTGAAAGGAAGTCTGGAGACATTTGGGTTACCAAGTTTTTGTTGGTATGAAGAAACAATCATTAACCAACCAATCCACAAAAAGCACCACCACCAACAGCTTCCATCTAGCATACTATCTTCTTCATTTCATAATAGATAGCTGAACATTAGAGTAGTATAATAAGGTCAATGGACTGCTCCACTCTTTCTTACACACTAACCTATGTTGCCTCTTTTCCCATCTCCTCTGAACCCCTACAGACTACGTTACATCAGTACGAGACCACAGCCAGGCCAGCTCACCTCAGAGGACTGTCTGGGAGTCTCCTCTAGAGTATGAGAGGTAACCATCCAGGGAGCCAAAGTGGAGCCCCGCCCAAGGCAGTAGCCCATGTGTAAATCCATGAACTGTTGGACTGCTGCACCCAGAGTATATTGAGGTCATGCCAGTGGAGTCCAGACTCTGTTCCTCTCATTTTAGCTCCAAGGGAAAGCTAGAAAGAAGCAGGGGAAAGTATAGGCTTCTCTGATGGCTGAGGGTCTGTCTCGACCAGGGGTGTCAAACTCATTTTCACTGGGGGCCATATCAGCCTTGCAGTTACTTTCAAAGGACCAAAATAATTTTAGGATCGTAAAAATGTAACTATTCCTTAACTGTTAAGGAGTTGAAATTACATTCGGCCCTTTGAAAGCAACCGCAAGACTGATGTGGTACCTGGTGAAAATGAGTGAGACATCTCTGGTCTAGGCCCTGCCCTCTTAGAGGAACTGTCAGTTCAGGAAGGTATGCTCTTCCTCTCTTCCTTTTACTATGGAACTATGTTACTCAGCTGTTTCAAGAGCCAGCCATGTAGAGAGGTACAGCAGGACTTCTGGTCACAACAGAACTTCTCAGGCTAGGGAAATGACAGGCCCTAGAGAGGGGCCCATGGCACCTCTGACATCGGCTGTGACCAACAATTCAATGGGCACCATTCATACAGACAGAAGTTTTCTATAAAGGACCATGTCAATAATTTAGGCTTTGCAGGCCAGAAGATCTGTCCCCGCTACTTTATTTGGCCACTATAGCAGGAAGTCAGCTTAATACAGTATGAAAATGAATAAGCATGGCTGTGTGCCTCAAAGCTTATTTACAAAAACAGGAGGTTGGCCTGCAAGCAGCAGTGTGCCACCACATGACATAGAAGATTGAAAGCACCCCCTAGAGGTGGCCATGCAGCAGTTCTATAACACATCATTGTGGCCAGTGTCAAAGGACAGAAAGGCCTGCAGGTCTTAAGCCTACCTGCAATAAGACCCCATTTGGTGTTTCTTCCCCAAAGCATAGAGGTTCTTCTCAGGTAGTCACCCACTTCATATTCTTATAGAAGCTGAGTCCTCTTTCAGCTCCACCTCCTCACCACTCCTCCAACCAGTTGAGCACAAGCTATGTCCCGGCTTCGCTCTGTCCTACAAGCACATAACCTTAGCTGCTAAGCAGGTAAGTCTTAGCAGGTGCAGCAGTTCTGCTGCCTCTGCAGTGGGACCATGCTCCTCTAGAAGCCTCAACAGCTCCACCCAGTTCTGGGGACCTCTTCTCTGCAGAAGGGGAGGAAGACACTTGGCATAGTATCATACCCAGCTTCTGTGTCTTCTAGAAGCCTACCATGGTGCCCTTAACTAGTGGATGAATTCTCCTGGTTCACCCTGGATACAGTATGTCCAGGACAGTCCTGGCCTCCTTTCTTTCACCTCATGTACAAAAGTAAAGCTGTGTGAGTGAAGGTTTGCAGTCTTTGACTAGAGGATCTGTGGCACTGCCATTTGTCAGGGAAGCCCTGTCAGCAGCCAAGAGAGGCAGCCAGCCTAAGCTATGGCCAGAAGTCCTGCTAGACCTCCACACCTGGTTCTCTTGCTCAGCTGAGCTGTGGTTTAGTAAATGTTTTAACAGATAAGGCTAGTTAAGCAACCCAACTGCTCCGGCAGTCATGTTGCCAATACACACCCTGATCTTGAGCCTGGCTTCTCTTGAGGCAGTAAGTTCACACACAGCCCACATATTTCCAACAAGCACACCTGTATGCACTGCTTCAGTTTTCACTCTCATGCCCCCACACCCTCCAGATCCCATTCCCACCCCACTCATCACCAGTATTGGAGGAAGCTATCCTCCCTCAAGAGGCAGGTGAGGAAAATGGATACCTCCAGAAAGTGTGATTTTCCTCCCTAATGTGACAGCCAGAGGAGCCTAGAGAGGTTCCCAGACTCCTTGCAGGAAAACACCTTCATAGAAAAACTTCTTTGTAAAGAAGTGCTTTATTGCTGCATTTAGACACCCCATGTATAGCACAAACGAGCCCGTGTACAGAGTATTATTCAAGTGGTGATACTGAGAAACAGTGAACACACACAAAAGAATAAAAAACTAGACATCTAGATAACTAGAAACTCCCTAAGTGCATTTTAGAAACCCCCACACATGCTAGTGTAAATTTGTTTTTTATTAACAATCAACTTTCTAGAAACATTGCACCTAAATAGGTGATGAGTTGTTTATGTCTTTCCTAGGGTAGAGATGAAAGCTGTATATTTCAAATCAGATCTAAAAAGGTTAAGTATTTCAAAAGTGTATTTGCATCAGGCCAAAATGTTCCCAGTCCTCCTCCAGCCCTATAGCTGACCACCAGGCAACAGAAGCAGCTCAAACCTGTTCAGGCATTACCTGAGGCTCGGGAACTGGTCCAACTGCCTGGGGTCCATATATCTGTACCCAGGTAGAACATGCCTAAAAATTTAAAACTAGACCCATAAGATTGAAAAAAGTGGAGTGAAGCAAAAAAAAAAAAAAAAAAAAAAAGTGGGGGGGGGTTGTATAGGGGGACACATGTTTGAGTTCTGAAGTAGGAAGTGACCTTTTATAGCTATTCAGAAAAATTCTTAAAACCCAGGCACAATAAATGGATTACTGCTGGCATTCAAAGAAGTCACAAGCCCTTGAGTTGTACTGTAACTTCTTGGGGAATAGAGGTCAGGTCAGAGAGGGCTGGCTGGTGACACCCCTAAGGGCTTCTGCCATCTCTCCATTGCCTGGCCCACAATTACCAGCCCTACTGGCCCTGACACCTGAAGGCTCATCCCACATTTCCATATGGTTCAGTCAAATGTCATCCTCCCACCAGAGCGAGGTGCAGAATGAAAGGAAACTGGGGATTAACCCCCAAAAAGCATTTAGAGGGCGAGTGACAGACTAAAGGGAATACCAGGCAGATCCACTGTCCCCACTAGAAGATGGTACAGCACAATCTTGCAAGTGCTGCATGCCTCACTGTTAGCTCCTGGGGGGAAAATATTAGACCTGGGACTAAGAATGGGGTCAAAGGTGCTCAACTAGAATCTGTCAAGAAGAGAGAAACTCAAGGAAGCATCTGTGTGTCTTTCCAGGAGAGAAAAGGAGGACCTGGGATAGACCTTCACAGGCAGATAAGTTTTTGGAACTTGGTGGGAGGTGATGAGATGGACAGAGGGCTTCAGGGCAGAGGAAAGGATTCCTGCTTAAAAATCTACCTGTCTTCACATAACTCATCACTTGCTGTTAGAAGGTGGCAGACTTGGGGCCTTCCTTAGCCCATTCTGAAGGGGCAGAATCAGAGATGAGCAGGATCTAGCAACCCTGAGTAACAGTCTGCCTGATATCTCCAGGCAGAGAAAGGAAGTAGGTAATTGCACTTTGAGGCACAGTGAAGAGACAGGCATGGGCTGGATGTGGCTGGGGGACAGCGAGAGGGTAAATTGATCGATTTTCAGGGGCTGGTGTGGTGCCCAGCCAGAGAAAGACCATGGCAGTGCAGCTCCCTAGATCAGAGCCCATAATCCTGAAGAGTCAGACACTAGGAAGAAGTGGTAGAGCACAGTCTGCTACCACATACACTGCCCGAGAGCTCAGACACCCTTTAGCTTCCTTCTGGTTCTCAAAGGAAGCCACAGGGCTTCCCCTCTGAAAAGCAAAGGACTCATCTTGTGCTTGCTTCATCTTCTTAACACAAAAGATGAGACACCTAAGGCTCAGAGGACTAAGGGCAGGACTCCCAGGCACATGCAGACACCTGGAAAGCCAGCATCTGGGATATATCCATGTTACATGGCAGATCCCCCTGATCTAGATTCCTGGAGTTCACTCATTTCCCTGGAGCAATGAAACTAGTTTTTAAAAATAGAATCTTAAGTAGACTTTTTGGTAGTGATTTTGGTTTTATGAAAAATTGTATGGGAGATAATCCCTAATGACAGAACAGACTGATCCCAAGGCCAGGAGCTCCTAAAAGATCACCTCTATTCAGTCCAGTTAAGGCGACAAATGGTTGGGAGTGTGACTGAGTGCAGTAACACAACAGGCCCTGGTAGTTTGTGGCTCACTCCTGGCCCTTATCCCAGAGCTAACCTGCCTGCCTGTCTTCTCAGGTACAGAAGCTGGCTGAGATGGCAGGAGCCCAGGAGCACCTACAGTAGACACACACTAGACCAGGTTGGTGCATGCTTACTCTTTTAGTGTGAGGCCAGTACAGACTAGAGAGGTTTGTCTATAAGGGAATGATTTCTAAATACTCAGTTTTGTTTTAATTACTCACTTCTTTTCCTTTCATTTAGAACTCATAAGCTCTTCCTTTTCAGTGTTGACCAAAACATTTTTTAAAATGTTTGGGGCAGGCTCTTGTATAAAGACTTGTCATAAAGCAAGCTTGAAACCATAGGAATGAGGCTCAAATTGCCATTTAGAATCCATTAATTCCTATGAGATGTTATGAGAAAGTGTCCAACCTGTTTGTGCTGCATGCTAGTCACAAGTCTTTAATGGACACAAGACTAGATGTCACATTTCTCAGAATACAAAAGGCAATAGGGTTTTAGATCTGTTCTAACATAAAAGAGATAATCAGGGTCATACAGAGAAGATCTCTATTTATAAGAGACACTCTTAAGTTTCAATCTTACTGGACACACATAAAATAAAATATAGATTCTGTTTCTGAAAAGTGCCGTTTGCTTAGTGAAATCACTCGCCACCATGCAGAGAGCACCGTGGTCCACCTGCTGAGAACTGACAGTGACAGCACTGGAAGAGGGAGCTTACCTCCCTGGGTTCTCCTTAGTGAGGAGGGAAATCTTTGCACCATGACTAGACTTTCCCAAACACTTTGCTCCAGGGTGGGGTCTGCCGACAATTGGAAGAGTTGTACATCAGGGCCTGAGTATCACCCTGCTCCTGTTCTTTCCTCAGGTGTGACATTTCATCCCTCATTGTGCTCCAGACATCATGTGCCAGCTCCCTGTCATGATGTCATGAGTCTTCCACCTTCCCGTCCCATAGATGTGCACGTAGAAGTGGAACTCAGACATGTCCAACCGATGTGAGAGCTTTCCAGGATACTCCATGAAGAGGGTTTAGAAAAAGAGAAACCATTAAAAATAGTCACCTGATCAATCCGTGCTATTAAAGCATGTAAGAAAAGATACACAATTGGCAGTAAACAATTTCTGTGAGCTGTTCATGGATGTCCAGGAAAACTATACCCTCCACACAATCAGATGTGAATGATTTCTGGTCCACTGCCTTCAGGTTCTGTGCAACAAGAAGAGTTTGTGTCGGAATGACAGATTCCATGTTCATCTTTATTTTCAAAGTTGGGCTCTGTGAGTGTAGTTTTTTCAAAAATATTCTTTTTGCTTGTTTCTGGACAGTTTTGAACATAGATGACTCTGTTATAAGCTTTGAGTCTCTTCCACAATTGCACATACACTTTGCACTGAACGTACATAAAAAGAAGTCCGCCAGTAAAGCCAATGGCCACCACCACCAATTTAGTCCAAAAGGGCCACTCTAAGATTCCTAGAAGGAAAACACCTGGTTAGCCTAACAGATGACCTTATTTAAAATCTTAAGTAAATAAAACATAATTCATGAACTTCCCATAACCCATGGATACTTAATTCATCAAAGCCTATCTCACTGAAGTAGGGGTGGGAGAGGGTGTTCACTTCCTTATATCCTGCTCTTCCAGGAAGCAGTTCATGGAGATTCTCTCTCTCTCCATGATTTGATCTCTTCTGACTGGGTTTTCAAAACTACTCACAACAAGAGAAACATCCAAGTAGGATGGCTAGTTGCCTCATTTGGTAGCCCCTTCCAGAAACCCAGACATTTGAAGTTTGACTTGAAAATCAATCCAAAATAACACTCCAATCCTGAGACCCCAATGTGTCACTCAGGACCTCTGTGCTGAGCTTCCCTTTAGTTCTGAGCACGTACCTGTTGCCTGTCCCTGCTTGATTTCCTCAGCAGTACGGTCAATGAGCACATACAAGGACCAGACCACACAGGTGATGGCGATGACATGGAATGTCACTGAGCACATGATCTTCCTGCGCTCGCTGGCTGTCATCTGCAACTTCTCCCACTGCAACGACAGCATGCAGGGCATGAAGCTCAGGCTCACAGAGTAAAAGCTACAGTGGGGGTGGGAGCACTGTACATGGGTAAAATTGGCCTTCTTCCACTCTCCCCCTTTAGTTTAGCCCAAACTAAATGAACTCCCCCAAATACCCAAAGTTGTTTTCTTTAAACCACTTGGCTTCAACAAGTTTCCAGGTACTGGTATTCTGTCCACAGCCAACTTTCTGTGCAATGCAAAGCAGCTGGGATCTAGGTAAGCTATGAACCATGACCAGCAACTCCCTGTCTGCTTATTCTCACAAGCAGACATCAAATGGCTCGATAAAAAATTCTGTGATTTCAGTTCTGATGAAAACTGCACATTTTGAGTCTCCCTGACTTGCTGACTAACATGGGTGAGGGAAGATGAGGGTGATGATGTCACAACACACTAGCAGGTGGATCACACTCCATCGTGAAGGTGATGTAGGAAGGTGTTCACCCTTTGCTCCTCTGCTACTTTGGCAGCAACAGCTTGAAACTGATGCTAAGAATTCCTGGTACAAGCAGTCCCTGCCAGTCCCATCTCCTCTAGGAACTCATGAATTTACTCCAAATATCCAGATTTTCTTTTTCATTTGTCAGTTTCCAAATCAGAAGAAAACATATAAAGGCAGAGAAAAAGAACAAAGTATAAACACTATATATCCTCTACCAGCCCTAGTCACAGCCTCTTTCCAGATGGTTCTACATGGCAGAAGCTGAAAGCAAAGCCTCATGGATTACCTAGGTTGGTCAAAGTGCTGTAAGACTCACATGAGAGACCAGCGCAGGGAAGGTGCCCAGTAAATCAGAAGTGCCACAAAGACCATTTTTTAAGTAGTTTACACTTGATTTCTCTGAAGTCCACACTGCTTTCTGGTACAGTTTGGTACATATTTACTTGGCTTCTTTCCTAAAATACTCTCCTCATCCCTGATTTCCTATTATTTCCTAAGACATACTCAGTTCATGCCTCTCATACTCTCCTGAAATGCTCACCCTCACCTTTATGGTGTATGTTTTTCTCCAGAAACAAGCTGACCTCTGTAATCTCCTTTTACTTCATCTCCAATCCTACTGATCCTTCAAGAACTGCTTTAACCCCCAAATACTCTATGATGCTACCAACACTCTACTTTCCAGAGCTCTCACTCGCAATGAGTCCTTCCTTTTCTAATGTCTGGTATGTTCTATTGCCATGTAAATTAGCATTTAATTGGCATTGTAATAATGCTGTTATCTGATGATGCGACCAATTCCCTTTTTAACCTACATATTAAAATTTTGTAAGAACAAGTCTTATATTGTTCCAGACAAAACCTTATGTTGTGGATATAGACAGACACATTGAACAAACAATGTTTGCAAGGATGTGAGTGCAGAAACAAGGCTCCTCTCAGAAGAGCAGAGACATGGGCCTGATGAGGGCTGTACTACCTGTAATGCCTTTGCTTCTTTTCTTTCCCCACCCAACCCATGCTCCCACCTAAATATTTGTCAGGGAATAGACAGTAAATGTACTATGTTATGCTTTGCTTTGTGCTGGGGGGAGATACTAATCTCTAATATACAGTTTTAATTAGAGACAAGGCATGAAGAGTTAGTACATATAAAGGTAAATGATGACTAAAATGTCACAAAACAGGTCAAAGACCAAACGAGTAATGCAGACAAGCAACCAGTCTTACTTTGAAGGAAAAAAGAAAATATTATGGCTAAATGGTAACAAAGAGCTTCTTCCTCAGAGGAGGGACTTGTAAATCAGTACCAGAAACAATGATCTCTACCACATGATGTATGCACCATGCCCCACTTTTCAAAGAGGCAAACACAAGTAAGCTAAGGCTTCATCCAGACTCAGGTGCTCACTCTTCAGGGGCACGCATTTCAACGAGGTTAAACCACTGCCCAGGCTAAGTACCCTTATACATACTTTTCTCAAAGGCTTCAGCTTGGTCTCCATGATGAACTCATACTTGCAGAGCTCACAGCAGCGTGTGTCAGAGCTCTTGATCCATTGCTGCAGGCAGGTCTGGTGCACAAAGTGCAGGCTCCCTGTGCAGTGGCAGGGGGTGATCAGAGGGCTCCCATCATCCCCCTCACAGTGACAAATCCTAGGGCAGCAGAAAAGCCAGTCATTACAAAGAGGACTACACAACAGGGAAGGTAACACTGCAGTGGAAGGTCAACACCCCCCAAAAAACATTCAGAAACAAACATCACAAAATTGACTGCAAGCACAAAAACATACAAACATAAATGAGGACAATTACTACAAACTAAAAATTTCTATCTTACCACACCAACGTGTTAAGTCTGAATGGCATTTGGCGTCAGAGAGGAAAAAAATAATATAAGTAATGACAAAACAGTCACTTTTGGTAAGACATAAGAATTTCACTGAAAGATAAATTTAAGGTAACATGGAAGCATCTTCCAGAACTTAAGATGTTAAAATAACTTGAAAAAGATTCTGTATAAAACAGAATGAGAACTATACCTTCCAAATATACCAGTGATTTAAAAAGAGGGTGGAATTTTTTTTTTTAGCATAATCACTGACCTCAGCTCCATAGATCACAACTACATATTCCTGTCAAAGAGAAAACAGAAATCACAGTACCTCTTCTGGATCTCAAAAACATTATAAGGTACTGCAATTTCATTTCTTTTTTCAGGACTACTCACAGGAATAAGGGAGAATTTTAAATCATTCATTGTATCAAAAGATTCAGGGTACATGCAATACAATATAGCAACCTAATTTCAAAAAACTAAACAGACTTTTGAAAAACAGAATAGTCTTTCCCAGCATCTACAGGGCAGCAGAGATATCTGGCCTGAAAGAGCTGGGCTCCGGCCCCAGGGAGGCTCTCCACTATTTGTTTCTGATCCAATGGTTAGACATGATAAGAGCTGGCCCTAAGGAGGGGTGACGGGGGAAGGTGTAAGAGTGGTGACAAAAAGTGAATTATGAAAGATTTGGGGGGCCAGACAAGGATGCTGCACAGGGGAGGAGATAAAGGTAGAAAGTGGAATTAGGATCTGGATAGAGGTGGCTACATCCAAGTTAAAAAGAGAGGAGGAAGGACAGCCTCTCCCCACACACATCACGTGGTAGATGGAGCAAGTGGTAAAACTGAGGATGCGAGGAGCTGGCAATCCTTAAGATCTAGACCATCAAACCAAAAATCTTTCTTCCAACTTCTTTATGCAAAGTCTACTTATTTTTAGTTGAGAAGAATCAGCTTGACCTTTAATATGTATAGCTTCTTCCTCTTTTATCATCTGTGAAACTGTCTTGGGACCCATGTCATAGAAATTGGTTTTTCAAATGATTATCAATACTCTATTTTTCTAGAGAAAACTATTAACCCACAGCTGTTTAAAGTGCCTACTAATTAATTTTCCTGCAACTTCACATATTAAAACAATATGAGGTTACACAGGTGTGGGAAGCAGAGATGGACAGAATGATGGTTCTTGGCAAACCAACCTGCAGGCATCCCCTGACGTGGACACAGGAGAGATGGGGGGACATTGTTCAGAGAGGGAAGAACAATCCAGGTCACTGTCCTTCTCCGCTGAGCAGAGGGGTGCCCGCAGGACCTTACTCTTCAATTTTGTGGATTTGTTGTCCTCAAAGACGTCATCATCTCCCATTTCATCGGAGCAGAAGCCTGTGCTCCCTGCCAGCCCGCCGGAGGACTTGGCAGAGTGCAGGTGAGATGCACAGCTCTCGAGCTCATGGAACCTGTGCAGGCTGTTGGCACTCAAGCCATGTGAGAAGGAGAACAGGTACCTGAGCAGTCTCCGGCTTCTGGAAACAGCCTCACCATCTGCTTTCTCTTCCAAAAGAGGGACGTGCATACCCTCCTTGCCACTTTCCACCTCTGAGGCAGTTGAATTATGGGCAAATAGGGATGAAACACAAAATTGTTTGGAATGGCCAAGAGGTTTACAATTCAGAGTTCTTTTTTGTCTATGATGGAACCTGTCAATTCTGAGACATGGATCTTGAGAGAGTATCAGTTTCCCTTCAGAGCAAATTCTTCCCGCATAGTCAAAATTTCCCAAAGGGTCCTGGGCCTTCTCCCCGACATCATTTAAGGACTTTGAGAACTTTAGTGTTCTTCTGGCTTTGGTATTCTGATCAGGCTTCCAGGCCTGGACCCACTCTGAACCACCAGAATGGTGGTTTCTCTTTGATGCCTGTAATGTGTCTTTATAGATAACTGTCACAGTGAGCCCTTGTGTCAGAGAACTCTGGCACTGAGGAGCTTTCAAGGCAACAGCAGACTGCATGGGACTGTGGTGATAACACTCAGAAAACACTGCACTGGAACTGCATGCAGAGAACAGTGGAATAAAAACACAGAAAGTAAAAACAATTTTTAAAGAGAACACATATAAAAGTGAAGAAATGAGACCCATGTGGTAACTTGGTAAGCAAACAGCACATAAATCTGGGTCTACTGTTCAGAGCAAAGACATATTGACCAAGCAAATGAAAAATCAGGAACCTAAGACACTAATGCTTACTTTTGGGATGCAATAAACCAGTGTAGCAACTGAAGCAAGTGTTACCTGCAGATATCCTGATTGGAAGGTGTGACAGAAGTGCGAGAGAAGGCAGACACTGGAGCTGACACCAACGGAGGACCCCCAGCCTGTAACAACACACCATCCATCAGTTTTCAAGAAAGAATCAGGAGTACTGTGAATACCATCTCCTTCTGAAGGGGAACAGGGAAAGAATCTAAGGATGTCTGCTATTTCCTACTGCTCAATGAGTAACATGTACTAGGTCCCTACAAGCTGAGACAAAACAAATCAAATGGCACCTTTTTTTTCTTATATGTGGGTGAAAGTGAAATGAAGAAATATTTGAGACTCTGGAACAGCAACATTCATTTGCAGATTCAGTAGTCATTTATTTCCTAAGCATCAAATTTAATTAGTTTGTACATAGGTCATAAAACCAAGTACTACAAGGTGTATGGAAAAAACAAAAAACTGCATGGTACATCACTGCTGGCACTTGCTTCCCTGCTAGCAAGTTTCTGGGATAATCCTAATAAAAGGTGGCAGGATATAAGTACTCTCTCCTACTTATAACCTTATGGTTGGGCTACAAAACCTGCTACTCTGCCATAGCTTTTTACACAAAAGGGAGACTACAAGGCCACCAATCCATAGCTCAACCTGTGGCCCAAGAGTGGGGTGAGCACAGAATGCTTCCAAGAGTTCTAATGAAAATTTAAATTTGAAAGAACATGTAGCAAGAGGTCAGGAGATAGAGCAGGGACTCTGAAAGGCCATGAATAAGCCCAATTTAGAGAAAAGACCTAGGAGGATGAGAAACACCACAGCTAAGCTAAGAGAAATAAAAGGAAAGAAATAGCAACAGGGAATGTTGCTGAGCTGAGAATACAAAACCACCACTAGAGGGTCCTGCAGCCTCCCACTCCAGACTTTATGGGGCCCTTGTTATGCCTTATCAAGAAGCATATTCCTAAGTTTCCAAGACCCTCCCAGTACCCTGCATCTTCATGTAAGTGCATTCTTCTCTCCTAGGACAGCTAGCCTCAGTGAGCATATACTCCACACAATCTAAATAGCCACATGAATATAGTATACCTGTGCCTTGTATCTGGGGAGATTAATTCTAGGACTCCTCACAGATACCAAAATCCATAGATGCTCAAGTCCCTTATTTTAATAACATGGTATGGTATTTGCATATATCCTATACTTACATATAGGTTACAGCAGGCTGTACCCACACATCACTTTATTTCCAAGGAATCAGGGCAGTGCTCACATGTGGCAAATTCAAATTTTGCTTTTTGGAACTTTCTGGGATTTTTCTCCCCCTGAATATTTTCATCCCACAGTTGATTAAACCAACAGGTATGCAAGCCACAGATGCGAAGCCCATGAATATGAAGGCCAACTGTACTATGAGTCTATTATCAAGAGTAAGCCACATCACTTCTCTACCTTCCCAAGGATAACTCAGGTGGTCTTCAGCCCTGCTCCTTGGTCCACAATTCCCCAGCTGGGGCCTGCCCCTACCCTTTTGCTAAACACTACCCCAGGGGTACACTTCCACCCTTGGAATTCCAGCTACAGACCCCTAATGAGAGTGAGCCACCAAGACAGGCAGCACCATTATCCAGAAGCTCTCCTCTCTTCCCCTCTTCTGAAAATGCACTGGCTTGGAGAGAACCAGGGCTGGAACTCGAGGTGTTTAATCGACCACTCTTCAGCATGGAGAGTAAACATCATTTTAAATCCAACTCAACGTAAAGAAACTCATCCCATAAGTTACATGTTATCATGTTGCACATGTATGCTAAAATCATGTAGTATCCCTCAATTTGCACATCTTCTGAGTCACCAAAGAATCTATACTTATTTCTCTAACAATGTACATATATGAATATTGGGTATATTTTCTTTGCAAAGTTCCTAAGATTCTAATGTTTAATTTATTTGGAGACATGAAAATGACACCACCAAATAACCTGTCACAACCCTGTCACAACTCTTCCTAAACCAAATTGAGGCTAGGGGGTTTTCAGGACCTATTAGACATTATGCTGTTACATTCCCACTGCAGAAGCCACTGTGTTTTCTCCTGTACCCTCCTCTCATAGAGCCATCCCAGGCTCCACTCTTGGGGGTTCCTCTGGCAGATCCCAGCCTAGCCAGAGAACAGGCACAGGCTCTGCTATCTAGACTCTGAAGATGAGTACAGGGCCTTTACTGTCACTCACTACAGGGAAGTGGGTTGAGGATAGCTACACTAAGGTCCAGAACTCCTAATCTGACTGTCTCAGATACTCAGTCCTACCCCTATCCTGAGACAGAAAGCCTGCTTGAACTTCTTGTTCCCATCTTTTATTCTTTTACTTCTAAGGGTGACCGGTTCTGTTCAGCATCTGTAGACAAGGCCAGAAATGTATCATGAAGGCCACAAGCTGGTCATGCTGTATTATAGGGAAGTGAGACCTTGGACAAAGGGAGGACAGGAATGCCCAGCTATATTCACATCCTGTTCCCTTACTACTATGAGGTCAGCTCTCCTTCCTCTGTGTTGCTGAGTCAAGTTTAGTAGCTCAGACTGAGGTACAGAAGGATGTCCCCTTTCCACACAAGAGATAGAAAAGTGCACGGCTCCCTCGAAGGGTAGAGGGAATTTCCTGATTATCTCATTCTCTGTTAGACAAGGACGTTATCTCTTGAAAGTAAGTATACCTTCTTGTATTCTGAAGGGAAGACAAACCATGTAGGAGAAAAGTAGGATCTTATCTGGACAGTGAGGCCCTTCCAGGGTCAGTGTACTGGGAGGAAGCTGGTCTCAGAAGGGAAACTGAAATCAAGAGAAAATGGTCTCTCATTCCTGTTCTGATATTCAAGTAATCCGTGTCAAAATGGGAAGTCTGGGGTAACAATCACATGCCCGTGGGAGGGGACTGATCTGAGATAGGAGGAAAGAGCCTCAGAACAGAACAAAGCCTGCATTCAGAAAAACCAGACTGTCTACACCTGTCACAGGGCCTGTGATCACTTCTCTGCAAAGTTTCCATCAGGTGTATCATGATAAATTCATGCACAGTTGGGTCCGTACTTATAGCAGAAGATTGTGCCTGTGAGACTGTGGCTGCAGTCCCAACCACTGCTCTCTGTTTATTTGGAAACTGGAAGAGTATGAGCATCCTCTCCCCATGTTCCTGCCCTCATCTCATCCTCCTCAATCCCACAAAAAACATCACGAGGCATTCACAGCATTGGGAGGCACTCTAAGCCTCCCAATGAGGAAAAAAGGTCTCTCTTCATACTAGATCTTGAGGTTTCAAGGAGATTTTTAAAAATCTACTTACTGTAGTTTTACATAAATACAAACCTGGAAATGCTTTATCCTGGCTGACTCCAGAGTGAGGAAACAAGAATGATTTGTGGGGTCATCACAGCTCTCATAAGAGGCCCTTTCTGTCACTGGCTAAAGAGAAGCCCAAGCAGAGTTCAGAACCAGTCCATATGCAGATGCTCACAAAAGCAGAGCTGAGCAACTTTACAGAACTTAACTGGTATTATGGTGAGTAAAATCTATCAACCTACCTACAAGGATTTAAAACAGTGGCCTGATCAACAACAGCAAAAAAACCTGAAGCCTTAAGCTTCAAATATGGTTACAAGGTTACTGTCAAGGTCAAGTCAAGGCAAGGGCCAGCATTGTCTGCTGAGAGTTCACAGCACTGACAGCTCTCAGAGGAGCAACATGCAGGGTGGCTTGGGGGTGGCCTCAAGGAAAAAGGAGACTATGCCACACCTCACTCAGGAGAGCAGCCCCTCCCCTCCACAAGGATCAATGACAGGAATGTTATAATAAAAGGTGTAAATGTCCCATATAAGAAAATTCAAATGTGTGAAGAGAACTTGGGCTCTCTGTTCCTGAAGTTCTTGGTTCTCAAACAAGAGACTTTCTGTCATGACAAAGAATGTAAAGCAAGCTCAATATAAAAAAATTTTCACAAAAACCCCCTCTTTGTAAAATGTTGTAATCAATTATAGCAAACCTCTGGATTCTGTCTAGTCCTAAATCTCAGTTGATTTAACTTCGTAAGAATGACAACTGCTTTTATACATTCTGTTTTGCTATAGTCAAGTCACTCAGTAGTTGCCTTCCCTATCAAACGCACTGCTTTGAATGATTTTAATCAAGGCTGCCAAACACATATGAAGAAAAGAAAACTTTCCACATATCCTTGGTAGAAGTTGGCATTCCCCCTTTCTCTGTTTCTTTCTTAGAGAACTTACTGCCATTGGAAGGACTCTTAATAGACTTATCAAGTAGACTTCTCAATTCGAGTAGAACACCACCTTTTCCTTTCAGGCTTTTGCTTCAACTTCCTTCCCTTGTTCCATCCTCTGGGTTACTTCACAACCTCCCTCTCTACCACCTCCTCCTCATTCTCTGTCGCAAGCTACCACTGGGCTTTCTTTTCTTTTACCAGCAAAGCTACTTGTAAACACTTGAAGTCGCAGGTCCCAACAAAAGTTTAGGTTTTGGGTCACAAAAAATGGCCTGGTTAATTTGCTTGCTTTTAAGCCAGAAGGAATTTGAAGATGAAATGGAAAAGGAGGGTTAAGAGACAAGTGGAGCTCATTTGTACAACTCACCTCAAATTATAGTCTATCAAATCAATCAATTTTTTGTATTTAATAGAGAAAAATGGAAAAGGAAATACAGGTGGCTCTTCAAATATGAAAAGATGCTTAATCTCTAGGTAGACAGTGCCGGACCTGGGAGGCCATGGCCGCCACCATGTCCCATCAGTCCAGCACCCAAGCAAGTACAGATGTTAGAAAGTCTTTGCCAAAGCAAGAAATGGAAAATACAGACTTCTGAAAACATCTATTGAAAAAGATAAACTTGTGACTGGATCTTCCAGTCAACCTTCAGATTCCTGAGATAAGGATTATGATTCCTTTGTTTTACCCTGTTGGAGGAAAAACAGCCATGCTATATATTATTCATGTTGAATTCTCAGACTGCCCAGAGATAAGAATGGATATTCATTGCCTGGTCTCCAGATCATTCTCATGTTCGTTAAAAAAATGTTGTATGCAGCAGCAAGAGCAACTCTGAAAAAGGGGTTTG